TCCGATACTCAGAAGGGAGAGTAGTCAGCAATACAAAGCACGAAAGTCTGGAAAAGTGCCCAATACTTCACAGGACGTGTCACAGGAAGCCAAAATTAGACAATGGACAAATTGGCCGTGCTCGGTCCAGACAGCAAGGAGAGTACAGCATCGCTGAGAACGATGCCACTACCCGGTGCCCCCAAAGAAGTGGGACTTCGGGAGGGTCTTCGTTTGGAATTACATGCGGCGTTTTCTCTTTTATTTTTTCTCGGGGGTGTGGCAGACTGTGCGGCGGTCTTGCTTCAAGGACCCGGCAAGTGCCGCTGGATGATCCCAGCATGGAAGCTGACAGGAGGAATTGAAACACTGCTTTCCTGCTGCGAAGGCCCCTGTCCACCGTGTTATTTGGTTTGGCCCAGATTGCCTTTTGCACAGTCGTGATTTCATATCTTGACTTCTTGTCGAAAAGATCAGGCACATGTGGGCATATCTCAACATTAGGGAACCCCAAAATGGTTCTTCTCAATGGATGAGTGGCAACCATTTCTCCAAAAGCATGAAAGGCCTTGCTTTTCGCCAGCGATCTGAAGGCATCCTCAAGTTATCCCCTAGATGGTGGGTTAAAAGACATTCCGAAAAACCCTTCAGAATGCTTCCCCTGAAGCCACCAGGCGAAACCAACCAATAAATGACACTGAAATTACAGCAACCTTTCCGTCGGGTTCAATAACATGCCGGAAGTTTAGAAGAACCATGGGCCATGGGTCTGTCCAAATGCGCTGTTGCTCATCGCGCGGATCGCAACTAAATGCAAGATGGTTTGAGGACGAACTCCAAGCCGAATGCTCTGTTTTAAAGGAAATGAAATGCTTTCCAGTCTGTGACATCTTTGCTAATCTCCAACATCGGCTCACCATGACACTGTGTTGCCAAGACATCACACATTCCCTTCCAAGGGGGCGCATGTTATTCTGAACCCAACAGCGACAGCAACCCCAACAACAAAGAAGGAAGTGCATAGATGCCCCTTCCAAAAGGAACATCGCCTTCCAAAAGGGGCCTGTGCACCAAGCCATGGTTGTAGAGGGAAGGGCATGGAGCTTCTTGGCACCTGGGTGTCCGGTTCTGGGCCAGGTCCTGCGTTTCCGCACCCGGCTGGCTCTGACAGAATCCGAGCCACGGCCGGCGCGAAGTTGGATGTGAAGCTGGTGACTGAAAGTGCTGGGGCGAACTCGGTCCTCAAACGGCTGAGGCAACCCTTCGAACAGGGGACCAAAAGAATGAGTTGTTTCAACAAGGACCCCCTTCTGAGTTGATTCCAAAAGAGAAACCAAAAGGCAACCAACCATTTAACAAACATTGTCAAGTTATTCCTATTTGCTACTTGTCCTGAAAAAGGACGGGTATACAGTACATATGTACACCTTGAGTTAGCTCTTATTTCCACCCGCAAGCCCATGCATGTGATGTATGTGGCTCCCCTATTTGAGAAACACATATGCGTGTAAACATGACCGCACTTTACAAGTGCCCCGTGGTGTCCAAACACATTGGACCCTGGATTTCCCAAAACCAGACCTCGCTTGGCACTTGCTCCAAGTGCTTCTCCTCCGTTAGCAGCGGTTCAAACTGAGAAGGCACAAAATTCTAGCTGTCAGCCCTGAAGAGCGCGGGACGCTCCATAGAGTTTTCAGACTGTGGTCGCTGCCACTTTGCCGTTCAACCCACTTCACTCAGCATGGTTCGTTCCAAAATGTTTGACAGGCGATGGCGCTCACAACTGCTTGAATGGGAATTCACCTGGCCCGGAATGCACCTACCAACATGGTACCAACCAGGGCTAAGCGACTTCACGTGGCCCATTGACTTTTGGTTTACCAAGTTATAAAGGCTAACAACTACCCCAATTCAACCAGGACCCGACCACCCCAAATGGCTTTATGGACATCGGTTGCCACTGCTCAACTGCAGCAGTGAGTGAGTCACCCATGGTGCGCAGAAACAACTGCAGTTGCTCTCAGAGAAGTCTGATAGCTCACGTTGAAGGGAGCAAGAAAACAACAAACGCGTACAAGCCATGTTGAAAGCATAGACCAGTTGCTCCAGCCTGTGGACTAGTGGAATACTGACTTGAGAGCACTTGTCGGCTCAGTTTTTAGGCTCATCCGAATGAAACCAAAGGCCCAGAATTCACTTCGAACCAAATAAGACTTGCTCCTACCATGTTGACAGCACAGCGTTTGTACCAGCGCTAGTCAACAAGGTAGACAACCAAGTGGGAAAAAGTAACGAAAGAAGAAAGCAAGACTGAAATAAATCAATCAATAAGTATATGTGAGTGTATATATATATATACATACATATGCATCAAACATCATCCGGGAAAAAAAGAGCAAGCATTCCCGCCGCGTGGCGACTCTCTTGGCTTCGGCTTCAGAATTTTCTTCTTCTTGCCGAGCCCTCTCGCCGCCGGCCTAGAGCCGGATGCCAATCCGATTGTTTGGCGAGTCGGAGACACACTCGCACACCGCACCGCAAACCCCCGTCCCCGTCTCCACCCCCCCCCCCGATTTTCCGATGGTCGCATTTGGAAGCTAGCCGTGGCAATCCGAAGCTTGTGCCGCACACGTTCCATCCGCCGTGTGTGGAATTCGGACCCCCCTCTCCATTGTGCATTGGGAGACAATCCAAGACAGATTCAAGGGGAGCCATAGGAACCTAGAACATTGCAACCTTACCCTACCAAGTTCAAAGTTCGGGGATGCCGTTGAGCGGCCGTTGTCCAATTTGCGCAACTGTCTTGGGCAAGGTCGACGCTTTTCCCTGCCGATCTGCAAGCACAGCTGGGGCGCAGCCCTTAAATTTTTCGCGATTCCAGGGCCGGCTCGAGCCCAGCCCGGCATGGTACCAAGCAAGTCAAGAACTAAACCTGAAGACCCTGAACTACGCCGAGGTTGTGAGGCCTGAACCCCCTGTCTTTCAGCCATGAGAAAACATAGAAAGACGCTTGCCCTCGGACAGGGGATCTACGTCTCCTGACTCTGGTTCAGGGCTGGAAAGGAGAAACCTGCAGGGGACGTGACCCTCCCGCCTCACCAGCTGTGACAGCTGCGCAGCTTGCTCCTCGAACTTCCCCTCCACTAAGCGCTGCAACTGGGTGATGGCCTCCCCAGGCAACGGCTCTGACTTAAGCATGGCAATGAAGGGACCCCAGCATGAAGACCTTGAGGTTCGAAAACTGCCTTCGATTTGCCCAACTGGATCATGTCCCTGAAAATTCAAAAAAAACACTGCGCAACATTTGTTTGCAAAGGACTCTCCTTTTGGGGGCAATTTGGGTTCATGGATCTTTATCAGGGCAGCTGCCCACGTTGTCCTACTAAAAGACACGGTTGAACTTCGTGTTTGTGAAAGCCACCATTTTGGAGTTGTATTCGGGGAAACCAACAGGAAACAATCTTTGGGGGTTCCCGCATTTGGAGACGAACTTCTGTTTTCATGCAAAGCCAGCTATGGAACACCCGGCCACCCGGCAAGAAGTTGTGTATTGTTCAGCCGAAACTGATGCTGTGGGGACTTGTGCCTGCGGTCAGCTTCAGCTTTAACACGTGTTTCTGTTTTAGTCGGAAAAGCACGGTAAGTCCAGGATTAGGCATTAGCAAGACACTTCTGAGACAGGAAGTAGATGTAGTGGACAGGCTTGACAAATGCAGGCGGCAAGTGACAAATACCAAGCCAAGGAAATTGGCTCCAACCGCTGCCGGTTCATTGCGATTGCTCAGCCGCGATCTGGGCTTGAATGGTGCCCAGACAGCATTTGTAAAAGAAGAAAACACGCAAACCCACATCAGCAGCTAGAGGCACTCAAAGCATTGCTGAGATTACTTTGCAGCTTTGAACTGTTGTAGCTTCCATTGCACAGAACAGCTGACTCTTTTGTTATAATTAGTCCAAGCCCTTTACGCAGGCCCAAGTTATCTTCTCTACATTTGTCTGGCGTTTTAACCGTGGTCGTGGATTGGATCCTCGGCATGGGTGCAAAGCGCTGTTCTGGTCACAAACGAACATTTGACAAACACCGCAAGCTTATGAGAGCTAGCCTCCACCCCTTGGCTTATTGCAGCTGCAGGTCTGCATCAAAATCACACAAGCTTCCGCACCCTAAAAGAGCAAAGGCAACTAATCATGTCAATGTCCCACCAGATACACGGATAACCTAAGACAAGCACAGCTGTACCGTGGTTCATCCAATCCAGTCTTTTCAATAGGCTTATGGGTTGTCTTTAGGATTCACTTCCCCTAGTTACAATATGGCTATGAATTCCTGTGGCGAAGCTCTCAGAAATGGTTATCAAACCTTTCAACTAAGAATCTTAGCCATCTATGTCTCTCCTTTTTTGATGACAACCAATCCCTGCTTTGCCCGCTCGCCTCCAGTATGCGGTCATCATCTTTTTCCTTGTCCGTGGAGATCTCGAGATTCATGGCACAGGGAAGATCACTCTGACTAGCGCTCCGTTTCGTATTTTGTCTGCCCTAAAATATACAATAGTCTCGGAGGCGGCCGCAGTGAACAAAAATCACCTGCCTGAGGACAGCACCAGGCTTCTATTTCTATCGCCAGCACCAATCTTTTGACCCAACTTGTGGGGGAATACGTCTTTTGCCCAAAGTATCTAGAATAGAACCTTTTGCTGTCAATCTGGCCACCAGCCAACCCGGAGATCTAGCCTTATGTTCAGCGCGAATTCCTGCAAAAACGATGGCTCAGAACATATCCTATGCGCCATCCCCAAGACATGGCATTTCCGCATGTCAAGCGGCCATTGGCCCAATGGGCTCTTAAGCTTGAGATCTGGACCCTCTCACGGGCGATGCCCAGCTTGAGCCCCAGGCCATCCCAAAATCCTGGGAATCCTTCAGAAAGCGAACGAGGCAGATGTCGACACCGAAAACCCCCGCAGACTTCCTCGTTTGAAGAAGAGGGCCAGGTTCCAATTGGGTTTGAGTGGATGGTGGCGCCCCGTGGGCGCAGTGTAGCTCTTTCTTGCCCTGGCAGGCCATCCTTGAAGGGGACTGTGGGATTCAAGCGAGTTGACGTGGAAAACTCCCTCGGTGATACTGTACCAAAGTGCCAATAGAAACATATTGGTCGTGTTCAAGGGAATTCCAGGGGATCGCAGAACATGGCCCAGCCCTACGTTGCAGAACCATGAGCGAGTTTCATGGATATATGTTACACGGCACCTCAACCAAACGTAAGCATCTCGAAAAAGACTCCACATGCCTGCAGTTGCTTTGTGGAGAAGACAAGTTCGAGAGTTTTCCCGAGCAAAGGATCTCAACAGAAATTCATCCATCTTGAAATCCTACACTACGACGAGAGAGATTGGGAATCGCAACCTCTCACTGATGTGCAAGGGTCCAAAATTCCAAGCAGCAATCAGGGACGCCCATTTCATTGATCCTCTCTGGGGCCCTGTTTGGTATCCTGGCACGCTTCGGCCAACACGCATTCGAATCAGTGGCCATGGACAGAAGGGCCCGCCATCTCGGCCATGTGTCCATAGTAATCAAAGAAACCGGGCCAGGTCCTCAGGTTGTTTTCTACCACTTAAGAGCTGAGTAGAGGCGTGGTTCCTCCCAAGCACTGTGCATCTCTGAGCCCTTCACCACGATCTTCCCCTGAGTGAATGAGGTTTCATTGGCGGAGAGCCTCTCAGTGCTTCCAATTAATTACCTGTACAGCCATGCAGTATAGCAGGCAACAAGGGGGGCCATCATCTAAAGCCTAAAGGACAAAACAAATACCTGGTTACCCACTATAGCCGTAAATGGAAGCACTGGGATACGTAGCCTCGTTTGCAAATGGTATTGAAGGCTATCCAAAGCCTCGCTGTGCTTCGAACATGGGGACTCCGAATCGGTTCATGTTGAAGCAATTGTTGCCTGAGACAAACAGCCATGCGAGTTGGTGCAAGGCTTCACCCTTGGTACTTCTGGCGATTGGTGCATAAGCTCAAATGCAATAACTGTCAACTTGAAGCCTGAGGCCAGAAAGAAACACTCTAAAATAAGCGGTGACCAAACCCTAAAGCCCCCCCTACACCAAGTTTGCCCTAGAAAAAGTTCCTAGCGTATTAAAACACCCTTAACCGTACCATGCACAATCCCGCCGGGGCCTAATACCGGACCAGTTCTGAATCCTGGTCATCCCCAACTGAACGGACAAGCTCAGCGGCACATGTTTTGATGGACTTATGGATGGCTCGGTCAATGCGTCAGTGAGTTGTGGCTTGCAACTGGCACCAACATGTTCTATTCGATGGCTATTCGACGGGGAAGAATCAAACAACTTGGAGTACACAGCCTCAGCTCCCCCCTACTGGGGTGGCAACGAACCAAGCCCATGTCGATTGCCCGAGTTGGACATGCCGGGTGAAAATGGCTGATCGTCGCCTTGATCTGCGCGAAGTTGCCCCACAAGAGGAAAACCAATCCTGAGACGACGCAGGGTGCGATTCATTCCCTCAATATGTGTTTTTGATGGGATGCATTCGCATGACTAAGCCCGGGTGCAAATAACTTGAGTGCCACGAAAGGACCCACACAAAACATCAAAGGTGAGATCCTTTTGGGGTACCATGAGTGAAGACGGCTCCAAAGCTTGGGACGCGGAAAGGTCATAACAACCCCAAGGCACAACCTCAATTCCCTCAGATGAGGAAAATTGGAAAAAAGACCCGAGTTCTTCTGCTGGATTATTAGAACATGGTTGACGTCTCCTTGATCGGGGCAGTCTAAAAGTTGCTGAACAGCAATCCACTAATGCGCACAAAGCAGAGATCCCAGGAATGTCTCCGAAGCTGCCCCGATTGAATGTCGCCCGCCGCGCCTTCATGGCGCTCGTTCAACGCCTTGATCACCTCATCCGTGAAGCGCTGCCAGCCACACTTGGCATGGGAGTTGGCCTGGCGAATCTCATATGAGTCAGGGGAACCCTTTCTTGGGGCATCCGGCAGGGCGTGTTGGTCGATCCTGTTGGATAACCTCAAGGGATTGATCAAAAATACAATACAAATGACAAAGAGTGGAGCTCTCGAAAGTTCATCCTCAATAATTGTCGGCAAATGCAATCTTTCGTGGGAACTAAGAATCCATAAACCCATGACACTATATAATATATATGTATATATTTATATATTGGGCAGATATTGGGAAGCCATCCATTTTTATTGCGCCGCCAAAAGGAGGGTCCCTGGCCTCCTTGTGACCCTCGCGGACCGTGAGGGTGGCATTCAGCAGCAGCACACCTTGCTGGGCCCAGCGGAGCAAAAAGCCTCGGCCGCGAGCTAAAGTCCGCGCGCGCAAAGTTCCGAGACCGGCAGCGAGAATTCTGGTCGATTGACATAAGTTTTCAGGAAGGACAAGACAAGCAAAAAACATCTTTCTAACCATGATGTGATTTGTAGCTTTGCCACTGGAGAAATGGACGTGCCAACCATGTTATTCAGGTTCATGTATTTGTCTCGCAACCCCTACTAAGGCAAACTATAGAACTTAGAAACCTTCACTAAACTATATATCCGGCACTAGCCAGGGCCTGCACTCTTCCCAAATAAACCCCTCAAACATGCAGTGTTACATGACACCCCCAGGCAAATGTCCCTCTCACATGAACCATTTGGGCATGTGTAAAATCGTGGGGGGGGGGGCAAAAAGGTCATTCCTTTGCCTTCACCTGCAAGCAACCCCGACCTAGTCGAGTGATTGTTGCACATCAGTCATTCTGGAGATGACCTCCAACCAGGCACGTGTGAATGCATGCTGGAAGCTCACCGCAGTCCAGGTAGACAAATCGGTTCATGACTGAGTGATGCTGAGCGGGACGCTGGATCCGAGCACACAACGCTTGCCCTTGCCCTTGCAGGAAGACCATTGAAGCACTGGAGCTTCAGCCTAGTCTTTAGTCAACTGCCGCTGCAGAAGTAGAAGGAAGGCCACAGCGCCCCGCCCGCCAGGACACCAAGCAGAAGAACAACAAACAGCTCACGGACATTGCCGCACTCGCAATGACAGGTGACTGGTTGCTGACGCCCCTGCTCGTGCAGTACAGGAAGTCTACCAAGGCCCCATTTGCAGGCCCCTACGTGGACCATGGAAAGCCCTTGCCTCATAGTCCTCCTGTACAACACCAGAGGGGGCTAGACACCCAAATAAACTACCACCTGTTTTTTTTTTTTAACACGAGGGAACTTGTCTTTCGCTCGTTCCCTTTCGCAGTGATTGATCCAGCGCCAGGAGGGTATTCTCATTGTGTCCGCATAGTTTCATTTTGGTGGCGAGTCACCTGTTGGTCCGACTTGAAGTGCAATGGTTCATCAACATAGAAAGAGGCAAAAAGAGGGATGGTACAACAATTCAGCCGGCAAGCAGGATGTTGAAACAATGGTTTTAACATGTGAGACGTGATGTGTCAATTGGATGCGGCAGTGTTGTACTCAGCGTGTCTTCCAAAGGGGTAAGCGTCACGCTGTGTGCAAGGGACGCGCGGTCTAGGCCTGCAGTGGCTTGTGTTCCGGGGAGAAAAAACAACAACTCTATATGTTCGCGCGGCCGAGCGCTTTCAGTTTGTGCTGCGAACTTGCATTTTCTTTCTTGCCTTTGAGTGTGAGGTTTTCTCACTGAAAATCTTTGCTCTGAGGTGGAATTTTGCGTCGAGCTTACTGCAACCCCAATCTGAGCCCCACGACTTGACGGCTACTACCCACTCCTCCTAAGACCTTTAACTCTTTGGTTGGCACATATTTTGGAAAAATGGTTTCATCTTCCCAAGTCAAAGGACCCAAGATCCATAGCCAGCGTGTAGCGCCGACGCAGCTTTCCAGCTTCTGGGATGCCGGGCCGTGGTCCGGCGCCTGGAAGCCGGGGATGTCCGTGGCCAGCTCCTCGAGAACCGAACATACGTCACCCTCGAACGCCGCAAGACTTGTGCATCCTAAGTTCATGCTTCTAAATTCGTGCTTATTTATTGAGTTGTAAAAGATACGGAGATTGCCACTTTCGGCGTGAATAGATTGCATCCCATCAACCACATGCCTTGCTGGACAGATCCAAATGGAGGTGGGGGGAGGCCACTCTACCTGCCATAGCATATTCGGTTCTCCAAACAGTAGGACATCCTGAATGTATCCACTGCTTCCAGGGGTCCAGGCAAGCCACTGCAACAAGCAACCAAGGAAAAAACAACAGGGGACCATTCTCCCTGCAGTTTCTCCGAGATGTATGACGGCTAATAGGTAAGCATGCCTGGTGGCTTAACTTACTATGGCGGCAGCTGGCTGGAAACACTTGCTTAGTCATTCACGAATCTGCCACCAAAATTAGACATCCCTCTCTCCACAACTTGGTCGTTCCCTCTGAACGGTCCTAGGGTTTGGGGTGTGAAAACGCGGGGTTCAACGGATCAACCCTGACGGGACGGGACTGGAACGTCCAGGGTGATCACCTTTTGGAA